CATGTAAACCTGCTGCTCCTGACGCTGAAATCGCATTCGGTGTGAACGCACCATTATTTTGTCAAGTGTGTGGTACAACCAGATCAGCACGTCCCTTCTGGGCTTTGGACTTCCACATGACACATCACCCGGAACACGTCAGTTTTCCCTGGTGCTGGCTTCTTAAGCAAACCCTGGGTAGTCACTGGTTCACCTCCGATCAGTCAGGGAACTTTTAATCGGCCCGCTCACTGTTCCTCGGTGAAAAGGTGTTGTTTTAGGCAACTTTTCGTCTGTTTCGATCCAGCGAGAAAGAATCAAGCTGATGCATCCGGTTCCTCCTTTCAAAATAAAATCTCCCCTCGGGAGTTGAAAACACTTGGAGACTTGAAGTCTCGGGTGGGGCAGTCGGCGGCATGCTGCTGTCCTGGCCGTTAGATCCCCCTAATTGGCTTATGGGCAAGACCTAACGGGCCAAGCTGGCTTCTCCGAAGAGAAAAACTCAGCCTTCCTTCCCTTTTTGTAATCACAAAAGCCTGAATTTTGCCTGAAACTCTCAGACTGAAGAAGTCTCTTAGAGAAGAGACGAAACGTTTCATTAGAGAAGAACCCGTCCAGAAGACCTATACATTTTTTTTCTTTTTGATTAATAAAAAACAGAAGTTAAATATGTTTAGAGAATTTTCATTTGTTCTTCAAATGATATGAACCAGTCTTTGATCTCTGAATTAATGCCAAACTCAAAAACAGTTTTACAGATTTTATTGTTAATGTACAAGGCTTTGGTGTGGTTCTGGATCAGGACATCGAGTTGGACTGGAACTTCTGGACGCACGAAAAAACTATTAGCAACAGAGTCACTGTGAACTTTGACTGAGAAAAAATACAAAGTCACTGACCTAGTGTTCGTGTGGGTGTTCCATGCACAGTCACTGATTTGAGTTGACAGGGTCCGAGCCCGTGTGATGTCGTCACCGTTCAGAATTGTTTGGGGTTTTAATCCAACAGACAAGAACTGGGTCCAGGGATAAGCGAGGATCAGAATCAAAAGAATTACCAGACTTAGTGYKGCAGGCTTGAGTCGTGGGTCCGTAAACTGAGCAGGGGTCGAGAGCCGTGTAATCGGATGAAGTGTCGCGCCGTTGAGGGAAAATCCAAGAGCCGAAAAACCAGGAAGTGAAGCAGGAGTCGTTACCGGGTAAGCAGATGACAGGAGGAATCCGACGAGGGCAAAGGCAAAGATCATGAAACCGAGGAGCATGAGCAGGATCAGGGAACCAG